TCCAGACCCTCGGGAGACACTATGAACATTAGTGCCCTCCACAGGGCAACCTCCTTGCGATTCGGCAGAGGTGACGTCGCTGCCAGTAGGAGGCCCGGGTGCCTCCCTCGCCTCGCGGTGCTGTGGCCCACCGCCACTAGAACGGTACCAAGTTCTCGTCTTCCGGATACTGAGGATCGTGTTTGCGACGCGGATTTGCCAATGAAAAGGATTGGCATTCGGTCATATGAACACCCCCCAAAGACCCTCGAAGGCATCGCTTGTGGTGCCCCAGTGCCTTGTCCCTTGTGCCAGCGTTGATCCACCCCTTGAACTTGTTTGATCAAAAACCACATTGGGCTAAGTAGTCCAATAGAATTGAGTTTGATTGGTGAGCGAAAATAGAATCATAGGGTTTGCCCTTCGATGAAGCAGGCACGGAGAGGGGTTCGGGTAACGGCTGCTGAACGCTTTCTGTAGCGCACAACTTGAAGGTATTATTAGTGAACGGTGCAGCCCCGTAGGCGGAGGAGAGACTTATCATGCGACGAGCTGGCATGCAGTACTGCTATCACAGGAAGTTCCATAATTTTTTCGACGAAGGCATACATTATACTATTGGCTAAACATTCCCCGATCCAAAGTTGATGCCAGGTGCGATTGTTTGTCAGATGTGACAACCGACAACCGTACTTTGTTGAACGTGCGAAACTGGGGCTGCCAGCTGCCTTGTACGCGCCGTAGACTCGCGCAAACGCCACAAGTTGTCAAAGTGACTCCTGCAACTACCTTCAAACACTTTCAACGACGCAAGAGACTTGCCTTTCTTTCCATAAGTACCTTGGTACTTGTTGATGATATTTGAAGACTATTCAAGCGCAATCCGCTGGGAGTTACTGCTGCTTGTGCTCCTGGCATCCTGAAGAAAGCCCCTCCATCGACAGTTTCCGTCGCTATTCGAACGCCAACATGCAACATACCAGTAAGTATTACAGCAAGGAGAGATTTTTGAAAACTTCGTAAATGCTAACAATTCTCTATCAGAAGATCTACAGAAAAAACAAAGACTCTTGCTAGCAGCTATCACGTTTCCTACCGATAATAAACCATGCAGTGTCGACATGACCGATCACATCCAAACCATTCTATTCCCAATCTTGACGACCCATGCGGCTCTTTTAACAGGCATCAAACCCCGTGAGTGGACTTTGATAGGTCAACCATGGGCTTCCGTTAAGCCTGATGGGCATCCGTGCGACGTCATCCGCGCATCCAGTGGATGATATTCGCGCCATACCTGCAAGGATATAACGGCTAGCTACGAGGCTAACAACAAATAGAAGGCTCGCGTGGTCTTATGACCCATTCGGGAAGCCTGTCAGTTAGTTGCTGGCACTGAAGCTGCAAATCATAATTCCCATGCATCTCGCCCTATCGGGCTGTCGACTCTGTCGCCTTTCCCCCAACATGCTCTCGACATGAGGCGCCCAACGATCGCCGCTCCGCAGCCATGCTGGGTTTCAGTTCATGTGGTACAAACCACCGTTCTATATGGTTGGGCCAGGTTCTCTGTTACACGAGATATACAAACGATCCAGGCAGGGAAACAAGCTGGGTATCAGCATTATCGGTCAGAGTGGTGAATTAACAATCTAATCAGCACTACAGAGGCATGACTTCATGCTAAAATGAAAATCATGATTGTTGCAAGGCGATGGGAAACATCATTTAAAACTGCAGCACCGGCTCGTGCCGCCGGAGCCCCTACCCTGCTGGTAGCTGCGGGAACCAGCGGCGCGAACCGTCAGCGGGCGTCAGCGGGCGTCAGCGGGCCCCCAAATGAACAGGTCTTTGACGGCTTGATGCCCAGCTGTACAGGGGTGGGTTGCAGCGCACAAAATTCTAGCAAAACCCGAAAGCAGAAGCCGAATAACCAAATACCTCTCGCGACGATCGCACTTTGTTGCGTTCAATAAAAAACACTGATACAGAGCCATCGCGACCAAGTTGGGCTTCAATTCACCGTACGACTAATCACATCCTGCGGCCCGACCGATTACCACTGCCAGCCATTGATGATTGCTGCGCATCGACGTCATAATGATAATTCAGAACAAACTGACTCGGGTTTCAGCAGCTATCAACGTTCTCCGCTATCTGATACTGGCCGATGGCATTGTGGTGGCGACAATGGTAACAAGCCACGACTCGAATTTCGGCCACAGCAGGGGAAGCCTGGAGCTTTTTGTAGAGCCAATTGGGTTCTGCTTTGGAAAGAAAGAATTATTGCACCAACTCCACAAGCGTTGACCGAGGTATATCAGCGTTGCTCACCCATCGGTCAGTGCCTAGAAGGCGTCGTCTCAGGTATAGAAAAAAGAAGCATCCAAATGTGTTCTAGGACTGGGTCAACTGCACCAATGGTGGAGAAGGCAGCACACAGTTCTTGCATGCTGCGGCCGCTTCTGCAGCCTGCAGGCCGCTCCGGGAACGGGCGCCGCGCGGGACCAAGGCCATGACCTCCTGACCGGACTTTTCGCACCCCTCTACACGCCCCTACCAAAACGCTGCTCATGTTGCGTCACAACTTGCTGTCTCTTCACCTGGGAGAGCTGGGAGAGCTGGAGTGGGAGTGGGAGTGGGAGGCACACCATGCTAGTGGAGGCGGACACTGGCTGGGCGGTGGCTCGGCTAGCAGATGGTGTGAAAGACCATTCACGGAGCGTAACCGGCCCTTATTATGCAGACGACGGGAGGGGAGACGGAAGGGCCCTGTTCTTGTCGCGGAGTCATCCACCTGGAGTCATGGACGACAAGCCAACAAGCCTGGTGCACAGCAGACACACCAACCGCGGCCAAGCAAATAGGACCAGTTTGCTCTTTACTACGTCGACCCCCTCACAGCGCGCACTCATTCTTTTGCCCTTGTTGCCCTTGTTGCCCGTTTTGCCCTTTGTGCTGGTCCGCGTCACTGCAGGGCCGCCACGAGCCTTCCGCGCATCCTGTAGCACGTAAGCCGCTGTTCCTGCTGGCTTTCGGCCTGAGCTTGGGCACCAGACACCTCGTCATCTGGTCAGCTTCCCTTCTCTCCGCAAACATAGCCATCCCGACTTTTTTTATCGCCAGGACATTCAACAGCGTGGTCTCTCGAAGCAACGGTTTGCGGTCGTAATTTCGATTCACACATCCTCCACGTCGCCCTTGCCAGCCCGTTGTACGTTGTTGGCGACTATCTTGACACCTGCTGTAGCACGGTGACACCGCTTGCGGTGCCAAACCTTAGGAACCCGCCTCTCCGATTGAGCCGCCACACGCGTAACCAGTTCCCGTTTGCGCAGCAACAAACGGCGTCAACACCACAGCATTGCCGTCGTCGCCACTCCACGAACACGAGTCTGATCTTGATCACATACTGCTCGGCGATATCAAACACCAAATCGCAGATTTGTACATACTTGACGGTGCGTAGTTTCAATCAACCTTTCGCTTGCTTGGGTGGCTGTGGAATTCGCCAAGTGACCGCGCCTCCCACTCAGCGCGCAAGAGCAATTGGTGGCGACTGTGAGATGATGCACCAGTTTTGCACAATTGCAAGGCTCGCTGTTCACCACGAGCAAACTGTCACGATCGGAGGCATCACAGCAGAGTGTCACGCACCATGGTGCCACCTCCTTCAGCCTGAAATCCTCTGCAGCCTGCCCGGCCGGTTTCCTGTGTCGTTGCCACCTTACCGCGTGGCCAATAAGTTCTGCAGGCCATGACGGCCATTGGCAACCGGCTAGCAATCGCAAGGCACTAGATCTCGGCCGTGGCGACGCGGAATTTCTTCATACCTGGAGCAGCTGTACCATCTCGTTATAGCGAAAAGTCTAACTGAGGCGCAGGCGCGAGCGGTCCCATCAGCTACCTCGGTTCGTGGTACGGCTAGTCAGTTGGCAGGTAGTTGGACGACTCGACTCAGCAGTTTGTCGCCCGCGATCTTGCTTGTGTTGGCTTGGAACGAGCCGACGCAAAAGGGTCGCAAGTCAGGCCACGACCCGTATTTTGTCTTTGGGGCGGATTCTTTCAGCGACGCCCAGAGCGACGACAGAACCACCTGCACAACCTCAACTAGTCTGTGTCTGGGTAGGGCGCAAGGGCGGTCCCTACCTCCTTTTAGCAGCTTGGCTTGAGGCCCAGTCTCGCAGAGCTGGGAGCGGCAAGACACCGGTCCATCCGCCCGCTTCTGCATTCCCGCTCAGATGGTCTCTGCCCTCTCCCGCTAACGTATACCTGTCTCCCCACCACCATTGCCATTTACTTCCACCGCCAGCCGGCCGCTGCGCTTCTTCTTCCTGCGACAACCCTCTTTTTACGCATCCGTCAAGGGCTTCGCGCGCATCTCGTCCCAGTCTTGCTGGCCCTCGTTTTGATTTCTCAAAACAGCCACCCGAAGGCTCTATTTCTGACAGATCCTCTTGGTGGCATCGCATTCTACCCACACTCATCCACCGCAGCCACTCCCTAATACGCCCAGCTACAGCTCGACCGGCCGCGTTCGATTTTCGGTGCCAGGACACAACACCCTTGACTACATTTATTACGTCGGCAACTGGCCACTCCTCGTCCGCGCTTACCATCTACTCTTACCTCGAAACTTGACCTGCCTCGATTCGACGACAAATGCGACTTTTGCCGTCTACCTCACCAACCATCCCGCCGCCCTCCGCCAATCCCAGTTACTAGTCAGTGGCTGCATCCCAGCCCTGAGTGTCCATTAGAGGACAGACATAGCATGGCCGACGACCGTTATCGTCGAGAGTATCCTCAGCGCGTTCGCCCAGAGGAACATTCGCAATCTTCGCCACACTCTCGCTCTTCTATTGAGGAATCTCGACACGCAGCAGAACCGCGAGGCACTATGGCGGCCTCGGTGACTTTGCCTTCGATCCAGGATCCTCACGGAGCAAGTTATTCTGGGCAGCCACCACCTAGCCGTGGCTATCCCCCGGATCCACGATATGCTTCGCCCAATGGTGGAAATGGCTATCCGCCTCCTGGACAGTCCGGCCACCCTCCCGGCTATTTGCCGCCTCTGCAGCCAGGATCTGAGCATCGTTCCCAAGCGTACCCCCCAGAGCATCGCGCCAGCTATTACGACGAGAGACGCCATCCTCAATACAGTGAATACCCCCCCGACTACTACTACCGTCAGCAGGGCCCCCCTCCAAATGGCTATCCCCGCGATTACCGCGGCGCTCCGCCTGGGTCGTATCCCCCAGACTTTGGCCAGGGGGTCGGCCCTTCAATGGCACAAGCTGCGCCGCGACAGCGTACCTCAATCGCTTGTAGATACTGTCGAAAGCGCAAGGTATGCTATTCCCAACCCCTTGTCACCCGCAATTGTCACTAACGTGCAATAGATTCGCTGCAGTGGCTACCAGAGCGCCCCCGGAGGGAAGTGTCAGAACTGTGCAAGAATGAATCAGGAATGCATTTTCCAGCCCGTCTCTTCTTCGAGCTCCACAGCCTTTGTTCCGCTTTCTGCGGTTCAAGGCGGTGTTCCTCCCGGTACTCAGTTATTCGGCGCCTATGGCCAACCTCTCGCGCCCAATTCGGTCCCCGGTGGTCATCACTACCCTCCTCATCATGGCGGACCACCGCCGCCCGGCGGAGCGTACTATGGCCCGCCTTCACAGTCACCCACGGAAGCCTATGCATCCTATGGCGGAGATCCCCGAGAGGATCCGTCTTTGGCAGCTGGCAAGCGATCAAGGGATGCCATGGACCGAGAGGAAGAGTGGCGAAGACAGGCGCCCCGAGGCGCCCATGACGATGACCCGCGCAGACGGTCTCCTGCTGAGTTCTCCAGCAAGAGCAGCCCCGGCGGGGGCAACTACCCGTATCCTGTTGCTCGACACAGCCCGCATGCAGCGACGGCATCCACTGCTGGGCCTCAGTCTCGATCACCTGGTGGACAAACCGGCTCAAGCGGCGCCTCAACCCCGGTCCGTCAACCTGGCGTGCCTGTTCCCCAGAGTCAGCAGGCGCCGACCTCGAAGATGAGCTTGAGCAACTTGGTCGACAAAAGCGACATTGACAAGGGCATGATTGACCGCCTAAATCGCCCGCGGGACGGGGCTGGTCCCCCGCTGCGCGATTAAGGCAGTCCCCCACTGATATCCGGATGTCTTGGGACATGTTGACCGCTTTCGCATGGGCATGCAAGTTGAACATGCATTTCAACGCCTGCTGCTGGCAGCGCACTGGCACCGAGCCATGCGACGGAGCGTGTTCGTTTATACATTGGCTGGCGTCAACGCAGCGCGAAGCCTGCCAATTCAACTACAACAGAAAACAAAACACAGGAACGGCGCAAATCTAGACGGAATTCCAAGTTTGGCAACAAACGCTCAGTCAGCATCTGTTATGTTTTTTTTTCTTGGCATTTTTCGACCTTTCTTTTCTCTCTTGCTCTCAATTTTCGCTCTCAGCTTCGCAGGAATTGTTGTTCGTCTTTTCAGTTTGAGTCCGTGGTGCGATTGCAGTAATCGCTTGTTCGATTCGCCTGATCATCGCCTCTGCTTCTCAAATGTTCGTCGTTTTTCTCTTTCTCTACACACGCGAAGATGGATACGCCTCACGGCACATATCGGTTGGCTGGCTTTTTGCTTTATATCCCTGTTGTATCTGCTCTCTTTACCAAGAACTTTAGCGCGCCTGGCCGTCAAGTGCATGCGCCCGTTTCAATATCCCGCCGAGCCTGTCCTCCGGGTTGGTCACCTCGAATGGGCTCAAATGTTGCATGGCAGAAGGACCATTTGGTTTCCTGACTTTATGTACTTTTATTAGCAATACAGGCCACTAATGTTTCTGAATCGACTGTTGCTCTTCTGTGACGTTCATCTGAAAGATCGCCGTCGTTGGTCGTGTGGGAGGGGCTAACACGGGTAAACCCTCGACTACCCAAACTCAGTGAGTACCACCTCCCGCAACGTCTCTATTCTTGCTTCTCGCATACAGCTTAGCTTTCCAGGGAAATTCGCTTTGGCATCTTGACAGTCGCATTAACCCAACTTCTCGGCTTACTGGGCACCAGCAACACTGACTCCTGCTCAGTTCTACCGCCATCCTGCACCCCTTTCCTCACAAGGTCATGGCTAATTCCATCAGAACCTGTGTGACCCACAGAACAATGAAAGGCCAAGTGGAATTTCAACTATTGGCGGTGAGAATGCACTGGGCTAGAAAGTGCCTACGGAGACGTGTACGCCGAATCAGAAGGCCGCGCCGGGGTCCGAGCAGCAACAACCCTCGCGGGCGGGCAAGGGCAAGCAAGCGTTGTAACTTATTAGCGGAGACCAAACTACACGGTCCGGTGGGGGATGGATGCGCAAGAAGTGTGGCGTGCTGGCGGCGTGAAGCAGCTGTGAGCAAGACCAGCCCGTGGCGAGGGCATGTTTGCCCCCCCATTCACCCTCCTCCCCCTCCTCTTCAGGACGGACGGGAGGGGCTCCAAAGAGACAGACCACGACCTGCTTTTCAGCTAAACGCGCCACGGGAAGCCAAAGACGGGTTGGACATGACTTGGGTGTTTCCCACACGGCTTGGTTCGGCGGCCCTCGAATGGGCTCGGGATTAGCCCGAAGGATGGGAGAGATCTTATTGGGATGCCCAACTCTACGCGGACAAAGTGTGGGAAAGTTCGACTTGGGTTTGGGGGGATGACGCATGCGCAAGTGATGGCAGGGCCAAGCCGAGGGGGCGGATTGGAGGGGCACTATAACCAAGGACGAGAAGTGAGAGAAGAAGAGAGGGGCGATGAGGGGAGGGGGGGGAGAATAGAGGGGGTGGCCTTGGGAGCATTCGAGTGGGTGATGGGACACCGCTGAGCGCTGGATACTGGGCTGTTCGACCAATCCTTCCCTGGAGCGGGCACCAGTGCCATTATCCTGGGGCGGCCGCCGGCAGCGTCGCGGCCCTTGTTGGGCTCTCCGGCCTGCGGACTCGGGTTTTGGTCTACACTACCCGAGGGTTTGGGGGGAGGGGAGTGGGCTGGGTCTAGTACCTACATTAGGGTCGTCCGGACGAGGGCAGCCGAACAATGGGTGGGAAGCAGAGGAGGAGGGGCGACTTGCATAGGCGGGAGGCTCCGGGCAGCTGCTCGCCCACACAACCCTGAGGATCGTTGGGGACAGACAAGCCCTGGGACGTGGTGAGGAACCTACCTGCTTACGGCGAGCCGCTCCCCGCGCTTTGCCATGCGTTGAAGGCGGCGGCTGCCCTTGACAACAGGCCATTGTAGTGGGTAGAGCTATATTTATTGCCTGGGAGGAATACCGCGGGAGTCTGGATGGGTATGGTATATTGACAGGTCTGCTCACCAAGTCACCGGAAACAGCGTGAGAGGGGCGGGCACGTTGAGGAAGTGGGCTTGACGAGTTTCCCATGCACCAGAGAAGCAGGGTGAATAGATGGGATGGAGAGAGCAAGTAGAGTGACTGCAAAAATTTGTTCTAGTTTCAATATTCTATTGCTAGGATCGAGATTTCTACATGCGAGTCTACAACTCTCTGGCCATGGCAGCTGGGCCCGGCTCTTGTTGGTTACGGGCGGGCCGACAAAAGCCTTGATTCTTACATCCTTCGTATGGCAACCAGTGCTTGGACTCGATTCACGTGCCGCAATCGCGTGGGACGGAGTTTGTGTGCTGCTCACAGCTGGGTTGCGCTCTGCCCTCATTCGCCGGATTAGGGCAAAGGGGGCTTCCAGAAGCATCACGACCACCATCAGTAGTGGGCTGGGACAGGAGGGAAAGCTCCACCGACGAGTGCGAAGAGCGCACCAAACAGAGACTCTGAAAATGGAATTGAGTAGAAAGTGGGCAAGTTCTTCTTGGGTTTGTAGGACCGTGGGTTGACTGACCGAAGGGGACAAAGTCAGCTGGGCCAGAGACGACAACTCTTGCTTGCGAAGGCGACAGAGTTTGCAGCGAACTGGGGTCAATATTGTGGGGAGTAGGGTGTGTTGGGAGAAGGAAAAGAAGAAACGATGATGATCATGAAGGAGATGGACAATGAAGAGGCAAAGCGCAAAGTGACTGATCGACTCGGTCAACCTGCCTGTTGAGTTGGGGAGTGAAAATGGTCGATTGGGTAACAAGATGAGAGGAACAACGGTGCTGCATTAGTGGCTATGTGAATCGCGCTACGTCCGAACCATGTTCAAGCCACGAAAGGCTCTCCAGGTATGAGAGAAGGATGACTCGAGCCTGCAGTTGAAAGTAGGCCAACGGGTAAAAGGGCCGCGGCAGAAGCCGACTGGCCCGAGATGGAGTTGCGACAGGAAGCAACCAACAAGGCCAAAAAGTTGGTAAATGAGGATTTATGTACGATGCTGTTTCTTGTAAAAGTTGATTACTCGACGCAGGGCTGAGACATTATAGCGTCAAGGCTACACAACGCCGCATTCAGAATGTCTCAGCCGTTCGCATGAGTTGAACTCGAGACTTGTAGCCATGTGGCAAGCCAAAGAAAGGCAACGGTCGGCTAGTCGCCTTAGAAAAGAGAGCAAAAATGTAGCAAACTTCCTTTAACGTGAGACAGAAATACATCATGTGATTTCTTTTCGTTGCCCGCCTGACGAGCGCAGCAAATGACAGGTCCGATATCGCCAATCCAGTGAAGCCCCGTCACTTTCTCTTGCAAGTACAGTATAACACACACTGTATTTCTACACACTATTTGGGATTGGCAGTGGTGGCGGTGGCGCCTTATTGGCACACATAGTTGATGTTTGTCGCGGCAGTTGGCAAACTGTCCGCCACATGAAGGCGAAAAGCGAAACGAGTGCCGGTTCTTTTGGACTCGATTGCCTTTGGTGGCGTGCTATCCGATCAACCGTCCATCTTCTGACATGAGACGATTAAAAGAAATGAATGTAGTAAAGGAATAAGAGCTAGAAGTAGGAGGTGGTGGTGGTGGTGGAAGCTTTTGGTTAGTCGGCCGTGTCCTTCGGTCTCGGAGTTGCTCGCATATCGCAACTGAGACATTGCGCGGGAGAGTGCCTCGCTTAGAGTAGCAATGTGACCATGAGGAGCGGGAAAGTCAAAGAAACTGACGTATTGCATTTCATAGGTTAAAGAATCGCCATGTCGGTCGTTGCGAGACCCATGATCCGCATGCGTCTGACAACCGTCAGCCGATGGACTCTACAGGTGTGTTGGTTGGCACGTACCGGATGCGACAGAGCCAAGGGCCGGTCACTATTACACGCACACCTAGTCTACTACTAAGACAGCAGGCCAAGGAAAAGAGAAAAAGCGCACTGGGGCGGACACTGTCGACGGATCCCCTCAAGGCGCGGCACGACACCGAGGAGGGCCGCCCGTCCCTCGTGGGACTCTGCAGCAGAGGCAGCAGCCGGGCGGCCGCCACCGCAAAGGCAAGCAAAGTTTGACGCCATTGAGAAAACGTCTGTGTGGGCACCAGACTTTCTCCGAGAGAGGGATGGAGGGATGGAGGGGGGCGACAAAGCGGAGTGGTTGAAGCCATCACGCCCTCTCTCCCCAGGCAAAGAAGAGCAGAACAAGTTATTAGTCCACCGAGGGAGGGGTGTGTCTGGAAGGTGGGAGGGCCGTGACCGGCGTCCTGAATAACTAATAAGAGAACGCACGAACTCCGGCGGTACTTCCGTGGAACGTTTGTGGGAGCGACGGGAGAGCCGCGCTGTCGGAGAGGACGCACGCAACCATCCACCTACCCCCCCCCCCCCCAC